ATGACACATTTGATGAAGGTTTAATAAGACAATAGTGCACAAAATAAAGCATACTCATATTTGGAATATGTAGAAAATGTAGTGAAAGGACCTCATGGTGTCCCTTTTCTGAGTTCGTGTTTTGTTCGATAAACTAGGACTGCAGGACATGGCTGAACAAACTTTTTGCTTGGTAGGAAATGGATGATCAAATCAAGTTTGTTCATGTCCTACCAAACGGGCAAAAATTGATTAATTAGTCATGTTTTGTAACACCCTAGAAACAATGATAACCGATACACCTCATAATCCTTGAACATGCATGCGGAAGCTTAACAATCTCAACCATTTAATATTATGAACATTTCCAAAACTATAATTTATTCATTTACCTCCTTAAAGTATTAACGAGGCGACCGGGCATGCATGCATTCCTCTCCCTCTGAGGCTCTTGATTTACTGCTTTCCTTAGCTGCCATGCTTAGATAGCTTGCTTTTTGCTTTGGTTTGTACTTTAATAGTTAATGCGTTTAGCTATTTCAATTTGTTTTGTAATAATTAGCTAACTAGGATTAGTTAATTAATTTGTTGTGTAATAATTAGTTTAATTAGCTTAGATTAGCTAGTCAGCTTCTTATTCGGACTCTCCCTTGAGAGGGTCAATTGTTGTAATAAGCGTGCGTGTGTGTGATGCATGTCTTCTAATGCCCATTTCTTTCTCCCTTTTACTTAACCGCTTACGATGGTTAGTTTTAGGGCATGTTTCATTTAGCATACCTTATGCTTCATAAGTGTGCATCCATTCATCTGTCTTGCATGCACCGGGCTTGGCGCATCATACTAATTACATTGTACTTTCAATACATTTACTTGAATACGTGTTCAACAACATGTTAACAGCTCACATTTCACATGACATTCTAGAATAGCCGAGCCTATTTTAGCTGCATTTTCGTATGTGTTGTGTTAGACATTTTAACATGAACTAGGATCATGCATGATTTCTAATTAGTTCTTTGTTTTGGCTCGGAGTACACTATGAGTGTTTACGCTTTAGCATACTGCATGTGTGTTAATGTTTCCATGAAAGCATGCTTGCCATGAGGCTAATTGCTTATTTTCCATAACTGCCTGAATGCCTGTGGGTGAAGGTTGGATTACTTGAATTGGAATAATTCATTGAAATCCTCAATTTAGCCTACTTGCGAGTAGCAAACTTCAAACCATTTCCAAACAAACGGATATGTAATGCTTTGTTCCAAATTAGGCGATCTAGTCTATACTTGTATGCTGTTCGCATCACATAGTAATTCTAGCTAATTAACCGGAATAAGAGCACATGTGTTTTCAAAAACAAAATATCATGTTTAGTACAGGCCGATTTTTGATCAGGCGAGCGGGGGTGCTCATTACATGACCTTCCCCTTTCGTACCCAAGTTCCTGAGCCGAGGCAACTTTGTTGATGACGGACACGTGGTCTTAGGCACGAGTTAGGGTTTCCTAAATTACCCCAAAATAAAATATTTAGGTGGCGACTCTGTATCTAGCAAAGCAGTCCATGTTTGGCATTTCTTTATTAAAAATTAGTTTTCCAAAACGATTTGTCGGATTTGGACTCTTTGGTGATTTGTCGGTCTTATATCGCACATTGTAAGATTAGATTCAGAACCGTGACTTTGAGTCTGAACTGCAGTAGCTCAGAACAAAGCGAGATTCGTGTCACCTTGTCGTCGAGCGTGCGGATGTCGGGGAGTTCCCGGGAGCGCGTCTGCAGACCGAAACTAAGCAATCTGCACTAAAAGAGAGATATCTCTTAACACACTTGGAATTTTGATGTGAGGCTTCCACCATTAGAAATCTTACTTTCGGGGCTTCAATTTAGACACAATAATGACCAGAAAAGGAGTCTAGACGAAGGAGATATGCCCATTTGAAGTCGGGCCTGGAAACAGATTTTTGGTGGCCGGCCGACCACCACAATTGGATGACCGGCCACCTAAACTGGCCGACGGCCATTTTTCTCCTTTTTCAGCCTTGTTGGCCACCTTTTGGCACTTGTTGGTCACTTGTTCCCCTCACTGGCCACTTGAAGTGGACCGTCGGCTAGAGGAGGTGGCCGGCCTACCACCTGAAGTGGCCGACGGCTATTTTTCTGCTTTTTCAGATATTTTTTTTGCTAGCTGTGCCAGCTGTTGGTCACTGAATGCCATCTCCATACACGTGTATGGAGGGATGCAAACAAGCTTGTAGCTTGATTTTCTATATAATGGGGGGTCTCTCCCTCATTTGAGGGGTTACAAAATTTTTAGGGCAAAATTTTCCTCTCTCTCTCTCTCTCTAGAATCCTCTCTCTCTTCCAATATTGTGCTTGAAAGTGAGTTTTCCTTACATTTTTGCAAGCAACCCCTTAGCCAACTTAGACTACCTTGTAGTTGAGGTTCTTGGAAGTCTTATTTCAGTTTTGAAAAATTGGTTTTGGCTCAGAAAAGTACTTGTTTTGTTGCTGTGATTCAAGGGTAAGGACTTGTCCCTTTTAAGCGTTGCTTTCATTACTTGCTTGACCACCTTTGCATGCTACTTTGAGGCTAGTTTTAACCTCCAAAAACCTCCGTTTTAAGGGTTTTAAAATCATGGTTTGATCCTTGTATGGTTAGGGAGTGGTTCCCCCCTTTGCTCATTAGCTTATAAAGCTTTTTAAGCCTTATTTCAGAGCTTTTGAAACCCCCTTTTCTTGGCCTTTTAACCACTGAATTCCAGAGGAATTTCAGTGGTAGAAAGTTGGTTTTGAGGACCAAAATAGGAGGGGGTGGTCCCCCCCTTCCTCATATCTTGTTTGCATATGTAGACGGCCTAGTATTTGGGCATGCTTTTCTACCTTTTTGTAGCCTAGTTCGAGCATGTTTTGGCCTTATGTTAACATGTTATAACTCTGTTTTTGGCTGGTTGGAGCACCTCTTGTTTGTTTCTTCCACTTGTAGTGTAATTTTGCTCACTAGCCTAGCATGCCTAATGAGTTAGCCTATCATTCTAGCTTGTGTTAGCTCAACTCCAGCACATTTTTGCTACTGATTTAGCATGCTTTAGCTCTGTTTTGGGTGGTCTTGGTCATATGTGCCTTGCTTTGTATAGCTATAGTGTAAATGACCTTTACTAGCTTTGAGTTTTAGGGCCTCTAGCATGCTTTGCTTGTGATGTTTGCATGATATATCATCATTTTGCATGAGATTCCAGAGCATATATTATTGTCACACTCTCACATATCCCACTCTTTCATTGTTTTAGAGAGTTGTGTTTTGTGTCTTGTTTGTGGGCCAACATGCGAGAATGTTTTTCTTGCCTTTTGTGCCTAAGTTTCAGCATGTTTAGGTCACTGATTTGGCATGACTAAGCTCTGTTTTGAGCTGGTTTGATCACATAAGCTTTGCTTTATATGCTTGTAGTGCAATGGTGCTAAATTGCCTAGCATGTGCTATTGTTTTGGCCTCTTAATAAAGCTATTCTTAGCTTATTTCAAGCATGTTTTAGAACTCTATTTAGGGTGTTTTAGGACTGTTTTGGACTATTGGTCCCTTCTGAGCATTGTATTGCATGCCTCTAGTGTTTTGTCCTTCACTGGTTTCAATGCTTTTGGCCTTTAACATGTTGTGCATGTGTTGTTTGCATGTTGTTGTATTGGTTTTCGTGCCACTTTAGCACTAAAATATCTGCCATCTCCCTATTTCTTTACTTTTGATTTGTTTTGAGGGTCGGTTGGCCTCATGTTTGTGTTTAAGCTTGAGATAGAGTTTATGCTCAATGGCTTTAACTCTCTTTTGAAGGTTCCTTCTAGCCAAAGGCATGAACTCTCTTATGTCTTAAACCATCCTTTGGTTGACCCCTCTCTTGTTAGAGGACTTTCACATTGGACTTAATCGGTTAAAGGATTAATCGGTAATGTAAAATGTGTAAATAAGAATTGAGCAAAGTAAAACTTGTGCAAGATGAGCATTTAGGTTGTATTGCATGTGTTTGGATCGGACGTTAATCTAAACACGAGAAATATGGGACGTTTCATACTCAAAGTGATGAAACGTGTCACGTTTCTTGGTCGCCGACACCCTTGATCATGCATGATAGGGCGGAGGCTCCATTTGAGTCTATTTGTGCATTCATAGACCTTTTACAAGCTCGGTCCTTTGGCTATGATGCATTGAGATGCTTGATTGGTGGATTGAGAACCAAGCGTCACACTCCTTTGAGCTTGAGAAATGATGAGTAGAGTGGCAGTGCATACATTTCCTGCAAAATGCCTTGCTTTGCCTCTGTTGTTCTCTGTTGCAGCAAAAACAACATTTTGGAAAAGCAGTTGGCCTACCGGCCACTTGCAGTAGCCGACCGGCCACTTTCACTAGCCGATCGGCCAGTTAAGGTGGCCAACAGCCACTTTTTGTGGCCGACCGGCCACCAGTCCATTTTTGTGTAGAAATTATCCTATTTTGGAGCAGAAACAGTCTGGAGGTTGGTTTAATGTTCAGAGATCGAGGCAAGTACAAATAGAGGCAGCCAAAGGCAAGGCAATGGATTTTCTGGAGGACGCCAACCGAACATACATGCCTCCCTCACCCGCGAGGCCATTTAATTGTTTAGAATTGTAGCTAATTCATACATGTGTTGTAAATTATTTAGCTTAATTCATTTTGTACTTTAATTAGTTTGTGTAACTAGTTATCTAATGTTGTAATTAGTTAGCTTAAAATAGTTTTGGGTGTTTTGTTGGGTTGATCTTTTGGGGTTTCATTTTTTTATTTTATAGTTAAGTTCTTCTTAACTTTTTTTTTTAAAAAAAAAAAAAAAATCGTGAGGCCAAGGGGTTGGTTGTATGGTTGCGAGTAGCAGTAGTAGGGGTATTTTATACTTCCGAATCTCTCTCAGTGCATTTCATCTTCCTGTACTTTTAATTTCATGTTGATCAAAAAAAAAAAACAATTTTTTAGCCAATATGTCCGCTGAAATACTAATCCACTTGAGGCACAATCTCGTACCACGAAAAGCACATCTCTTCTTCAACAATTGGTATTCTATCTCAATAATTGATATGTTCTCAACATTAGTGCTAGGGTTAACAAATGTACCTCACTCAAACGTTTGTCGGTGCAAGTTGCAGAGTTCACAAAATCAGTAACTCCAAATGTTTTGCCTGAGAAGAAAAAAAGGGGAGGACAACATTATTCAAATCTGTGCCAAGCAAACTCGTGAATCACTTGATAATATTATGTTAAAATTATTATCCAAACTATAGCAACAAAAAAATTTATTAACCTGTTTCAAATTTGTCAGGATTCACATCCACACCAATAATTCTAGTTGCTCCACACATTCTTGCACCCTCTGCAACCTACAACACCAGATCATAATCATTATGGTCTCTTAACAACCTTGATTTTTCCTCATTTTTTGGTTAGGCAAAAAACTTATGTCAGTTGTAAAATCATACTGCTAATCCGATTGCTCCCAGCCCAAATATAGCAACAGTGGACCCTGCTTCTACATCTGCTGTTCTCCAAGCAGCACCTACCCCTGAAAACCCAAATTGTGCTTAATATTGTAATTCGATTATTTCTGGCTCCAGGGCAATATTTTAATCAAGTGCAAATGCTTTAAAAATAGCTTGGCTGCAAAGTTGACTCAAGAGTGAAAAGTTTGGAGTCATCTCAATATATGCAAGTCAGTCTATAATTTTTCAGTACAACTATTAGGGCAAACAAACAAAAAAAGCTAAGGATGCAATATCTCAAAAGGTTAGCCATATATACAATATGAGTTTATCCATATAAACATTCGATGACAATTATGATGTTGAAAATAATATTTAGTAAAAGAAATGAAATCTAAAGGTTTGGTCATAAATTTGACTGAAACAAGTAACAAAATCCAAACGTATTACCTGTTGACACTCCACAACTGAGGAGGCATGCCCTATTTGGTGGGATAGCAGGGTCAATTTTGGTTACATGAGCAACATCTACGACTGTGTACTCGCTAAAACTTGACACATATAAGAAATGGTATAAAGTCTCCCCTTTAAGATCCATGAATCGACTTGTCTTGTCTCTATGCATCCAAGGAGAGACCTCAAATGGGAATTTTGAGCATAAGTTGCTCTTCTTGGATTTGCAATCAATGCAATCTCCACAATCTGCCAAGAAGCTTGGGATGACAATGTCTCCTTCCATCACCTCATCTACATTCTCCCCAATGCTCTCCACAGCCCTTACAGAACATAAATGTGAAGTAGTTAAGCCACTTGTCAACAAGAAAGCATGAATGGTCATTGAGCTCAAACTTGAAATAGAAGATGTGGAGAAGGATGAAATCTTAATGGTAGCACAAACAAGACAAGAAGTTAAGACAGTCACCAAAGTCATCATGCACAAAACAGACCAATGCAAGGCCACAACATATAATTCAGCCACACACTACCATAAAAAAAAAAAAAAATCATCCAAGTAAACAAGAAAAATAACATAACTCCGTTGAAGTCTTTGAGATGACATAGTTTTTCAGATAAAGAAAAAACTACTCACCGCTAATGCATTTGTGTAGTCAAAACAGCTGTAGAGAAGAAAAAAAGAGAAGAAGAATAACATTCAGACAACTTTAATGAAAAAGAGCAGAAAGAATATAAGAAAACAATTTCTTGTGCATATAGATTATCATTTAACAAATTTATTGTCAGCCATAAGTTCAAACATTATAACACAAATAACATTCCAAACGGGGAAGGCAATAATCAAAGTAAATCAGCATCTCACAATCTGTGAGTAGAATTTCTTGTAACAGTAGAAGAAGTCTAATAGCCTATAAATATGCATTTAATTTTTCTAAGCCTCGTTTGGGAACATGCTATTTTAGTAACTTTTTAGCTTTTTATGAAAAGATGTGCAAAAAAATAGAGAGAGTGATGTGACAACTTGTAGTAACTTTTTGGCTTTTCGACTAAAATGTATAGTTGACAAACGAGGGAGTTAGGGAACCCAACTACTATTCTCTGAACAATATTTATTGCCTAGAACAATCAACTTTTCAGCCCCAAAATGATAACAAATCAAGCCGAAATAAACCTTAAACCTGTTCATTGTCCCCTATCTATAGCCTTCAATTTAACCATCAAAACCTTAAATTACTCATCATCCAATACTTCAAATACCCTCAAATCTGAAAATCCAGCAAGCTGGCAATTTTGAAATCAAACTAATTTAGACTCTTTCCTTCTATAAACCTCAGAAATTATCTTCTACATTTTAAAACCATTACACTAAAATCTATTCCTATACTAAACCCACCACAAACCATTTGTAGGCAACTTTATCATTAGTTTCCAAGATTTGTCCTATATCAATAGTCAACGATCATATTGTGAAGGCTAACCTCATCTCACACTAGAATTTGTTAAGTGCCATGGTTTTTGTTTAAACTCTCTTGCATTAGGTTTATGAATAGTGCATTTAATACCATGATGATTGGCAAAATAAATCTGAATGTGTGTGTATGCCGATTGAGAGGGGAGAGATGCAGTACACTGCTTTTCCCCATTCATGGCTTTTTAATCTTGTTGAACAACTTATTCAATTAAGATTTTATTTATTATCCATATCATTTAAATTTCAGTTACAATCCTGTCTTTTAGTCATCCTTGTCATCACTTTTTGCAGAGTTCATTTAAAATGAGCACATACATGTGAAATTTGTAACCCTATCAAGGTTGCCAAGTCTCTAAAAAGAAGTTTTCCATTCTTTGGCCTAAAAAGTTCTAAACTGAATCTTCAACCATTTTTTGTTAGAATTTACCTTCACCTACACCACTACCACCTCACCTACTCCACTAAACCTAACCCACTACACCACTACCACCTCCACTTCACCTACACCACTACCTCCACTTCACCTACTACACCTATATCTCCTATATAAGGAGCCTCTCACATTTGTACAAAATACAAAATTAATCAATCAATAATACATGATTTTTAACATGGTATCAGAGCAGGTTTAAAACCTACTATTTTTCGCTTCACCGGCGGGCGGCAACCTCACCTTAGCCGTCCGCCGGACCTCCATCTATTCCGTTTATTTTCTATACATACCTTCACTAAGTTGTAATGGCTCTCGTAAATACACAATCAGGATTGGTCTTTGTTTTTGCTTTTGCTTTCGTTTTCAGAGACTAATTTGTTGTAATCTTCGAGCTCTGCGTAATACACATCCCACACGCATCGGACGCATCCGCTGCCGCAACAGTCCCCCGGCAACGGCTTCTCCGGCTGCGGCGGCAATTTGTCCGGCCGCTCCTCCGCCTCCTCTTTGTTATTGTTGATGTTCAAAGCCGATAAATCGTCGCCTAATCGGCTGTTCTTGTCTGATTCATCAGCCATCGATCTCGCCGTTGTCCACGGCCATGACACCACACCAAACCGTGGTCTCTCTCTCTCTCTAGAGTCTCACAGAGATGGAGTTCGTGAGCCCCGAAGGGTTTCGCTTAGATGGTCGTCGTCCCATGGAGATGAGACAGATTCGAGCTGAAATCGGTGCCGTTGCCAATGCTGATGGTTCTGCTCTGTTTGAGATGGGTAACACCAAGGTCATTGCTGCTGTGTATGGTCCTAGAGAGGTCCAAAATAGGAGCCAACAAATTAATGATCAGGCACTGGTGCGCTGTGAGCCAACAAATTAATGATCAGGCACTCTCTCGAACCGCTGAGAATTCATCGCCAAGAAGGTCACACTTCTCACTCTCTTTCCATCTCTCTTCTTCCATGGAGATTTTCACTCTTATTATGTGGTGGACGCAGTTCATTGATCACATGCCCCATAGGTTGAAGAATTGTTTTGCCAGCACGAACTTCATCTCAGGGAGTACCTTTATCTCTGGTGGAGAATTTCTATCAGCTGGGGAGAAATGATGGGGATTGTAAAGATATCGGATGACAAATAAATTGGAGAATCTTTGAATTTTAGTATCATTAAGAATTATGATTTAATAAGAATTTATGTTTTTAGGATTTTATATTTTTATTAGTAGTTTCCAATTCCATTTTTTCCTAATTAGATGGCACTTATGGTTATATATATGGCTTATGTCATGTTTTGGATACTTAGACTTGAATGATTATTAATTATTGAATATTGAAAGTGATTTGAAATTGTGATTTTTATTTATTTTTCTTCTTCATTATTCTTTCTTTTATTCTTCTCTTTTGAAAACCCTTGTTGTGGTCTTGTGCCGATTCCGTCTTCTAGTTCTACATCACACTTCCTCTTGTGAATGACCCTCTCCTTATTTGTTTGGTGCTTGTAAAGTCTCTTTTTCGGCATGTAATAGTTGTAGTTATTTTTGGATGATGATAATATGTTAATTGTATTTTTCATTTGAGAGTTGGGATGCATGTTCGGGAGACTTAACCTCACCATAAAATGGTTTGCTCGTATTTAAAATTACCACAATTAATTTTATCACTGCTTGTCTGCTCGTATCTAAACAAACTTAATCTTATGAAACTTTGAAGTTCGATATACTTTAACAAGTTTAGATAATTTTCAAATAAATTGGACTTTGAATCCAGATTAAAATTAACGAGTTGTCAAGCTTAAAAACCGGAATGTATTCCTCGACCACATTTTGGGTCATTGGACACTTACCTAATCATGGACTTCTTTAATTGGTTTGACTTTTAGTTACCCATTTAACTTCCTTCCGTTCATCTTCTTGGGGTTAGAAATCTGGGGCGTGACTGTCCTCAAGGCCTCAACCAAACCCTTCCTTTCTCTCTCCATCATCTCATGCTATTGTAGCCTTTGTTGTTGCTACTTGGGGCCAACTTCTGGAATGTAACAACAATGCTGTATACTTCTTAAAGAAAATGTATACTAGAGGTGGGTACACATGCAATTTGCGTGAAGATATATGTAATTTAGGAATGAAGAAGATGAATAGAAACCGTGTATGTTTGTGGAGTTTTAAATATCTAAATTTATTAGATTTTTTCACATGACAATTTTGAAACTCATCAATTGTTGGTATTTTTGGAAAATGAAAAAAGCATAACAAAGTGTTCACATCAACTGACTTGTATACTTTATGTAATGTAATAGTATAGATACATATGTGGTTCTATTATGTATACTTGTAACCATGGATTCAATAATTTGAAACAGGGTCTGAAAATGGGATCTTCTGTTGAAGCTATACAAGCTGCTAAGGTTTATCGCCAGCTTCTGAAAGCTGTCAAGAAACATGTTGATAAAGAAGAGAAAAAGAGTCATTTCATCGAGTTCATATCGCAGGAGTTCCGAACAAGCCATGAACAATTGGACCTCTCATCCATCCATCAAAAAATAAAGCTTGCCCGTGATTACACGTTCCTTCTAAATAGTGTCCACCATCACAAGGTAACACCTACCTTTTATCTTTCATGCCTATGTATATGCATAATACACACACATATGTATATGCATTCATATTATGTATTTATATATGAAGTGTTGATTTTGTCTAGAAGCTTCAAGTCCGCAAACATTGAAATGAATTGACATTTGTTATTTATTATATGAAAATCAAAATTTCTCAGCTCACTTTAAAAAAAAAAAAAAAGAAAAAAAAGCAGCAGCTCACTTTTGTCTAATCTGCATAATTTACAATTGTGTGTCGTTAGCACATAGAGAATTTTCAGTGAGATGTATAGATAACATAAAACTTTTTTTTTATTTTTTTCCCTATTAAAATCACTGATCCAATCAGAAAGTTGAGAACTATATGGTGGGTTTCTGGTTTATATTCTTCAAACCATTGGAAGGGAATTCAGAGCAAATGGAGACTTTCTAATGCCATAACTTGGTTCTGTTACTGTGGTTTGGGGAATCTTCTCAATGGTAGATTGATATTGTTTGCTTTTGTCATCTCCGTGCCCTCTATTACCAAATAATTTCTGTTTATTCATTCAACAATATGGCTTTGTTAGTGGAAGAAACTACCTAATAAAATTTTAATTGTTTCCATCATAAATTTGAATGTGAATTCCTTGCGGTTGTGTAGGACTTGTTGTTTTCTTACAACATTGCTGTGGATAGATCTGATGAAATGAAAAAAGTTCTAGGAAAATCTGCTGCAAGTGTGGGTCTTCAACTTCCCGAAGTTTATCAGTCTTGATTGTTTGTAAGTTCCATGCCCTTTCTTTTGTTGGAAAATTTCCTTTATGCTAAATCAATGAGGCTCATTCTCATTCCTATTCCACTGTTGTAAGGATGCGAAAAGTTTGGTTTTGCCATGACTTCAATTTGAAAAATGTAACTTAACCCCAAATCTGTTGTGAATTTAGATTGGAACAGTGCAGAACCATTGGTGGACTCATTGTGTCATGAAATTTGACTGAAACAAATTACTCTTATATGAACTAATGAAATGCATATGGTTTGATACACGAAAGGCAAACTGGAGAAGGATTTGATTTTTTTTTCATTATTTTTTATTTTTGGGGATTTAAGCTTTTAATTTTCTACGTATCCTGCTTACATCAACACCATATGAAGTATTAAAATGATAAGAATTTTATCTTGTTTGAAGCAACCAGGTGCCATAGGTTTTTTTCAATCATTGAAGTGATATTGCTGAGTGTTATATGAACACAATAGCCCTATTTCTTCATCAGAATTGGTGGAGACTTTTTCTTATTGGCATTGCTCTTTAGTAAACCTATTTCCTGTTTGCCTATGAGTTGAGCAAAAACTCACTTCCCTCTCATTATACTTGTTATGTTTCTTGTTTTGGTCAAAAACCTTGCAGTTGATAGTGTATTTGATTTGAAGCATTTTGGGAAGTTTTGGTATCTCCCACCATTTTGAGCATTCTTAATTTTGTTTAAAAAATAAAAAAAAATAAAATTTCTTTTTTAGCTATTACTGTTTTTGAAGTGGCAAGATTAGAGAAGAGAGTTATTCCCAATGTTGCAGTTGGAAGAGAACCTTATTATCTATTATCATATGGTTGTGTTGTACCCCTGTACCCCGCCTGGTAAAAGATTGTTTATCAATTTATGTACACACTCTACAATCTTAGCTTATGTTTCCCTAATCAGAAGATAATGTTGAAGCATTGCAATTTATATTTGACTACTTCAGGGTTTTATGTTTATGTTTTTGTGTGTAGAAAACTAAATATTGATCCCCTTCCTGTGATAGTTAATATGTTTTGATATGCTAACTATAAATTATTTGTTACGTGTTTTATTTAATTTCACAACTGTAGTCCTTGAACACCAGATTTGTCTATTTCTAGTATGCTTCATTCCATTGTGTTTTGGGGAGATGGGAAGGAATTGCCAACCAAAATGTAGGCAGGCTGGCAAGGGGTTCCAATGTTCCATTCTTGACCTTACCCATTGAGCAGGACTTGTATGTTAAATATATCATTAATAACAATTTCATTTTAAGGTAATTATGGAATTTTTACATCTGTCAGAGTCTTTTAATTGAGTTAATAAAAAAAAACTAAAATAACCAAATTACTCTCCACTACCAAAAAATATTTACGCAACTACCCTACCCAAACTATCTCTATCATTCTCTCTCACTTTAGCATACAGCAACTTTCCCACCCCTCTCCTTATCACTGCTGTTACCTTACGGAACCAAACAACCAAAACCCCCATGTAATCACAGCCATCCACGATCATGACCTGTAGACTTGGTGTAGAGAGAGAGATGGTGGTGATTGGGATGGGTTGAGGCAGATTGTGGCAATTGTTCATAGGTGATGCCACTATTTTCATTGAGGATTGCAATGCAGATAGTTTTAGGGTTGCGACACAGATCAATTACCACTTCCCTTATCTCACAACCCACAAGATCAACAAATGAGGGACAGAAAAGTACACAACCTTTCAACTTTCAAAAACTACATAAAGTCGTTTGATTGGCAAAGCAAAACCCCCAAATTCTTAGGGCTTGTTTGGTTTGTTTTTGGGAGAGTTGTTTTTGAAAAAAAATTTGGGGAGAGAGTTTAGAAATTTTTTTGGTTTGTTTGGTTGTATATTTTGGGAGAGTTGTTTTTTTGGGAGTTTGGGATGATTGGATATTTTGGGAGAATTTGAGTAGATATGTGTGAGAGAAAAAGTGATTGAGAAGAAAAGAGGAGAGAGAAAAAGTGATTGATTGATGTGTAAGAGAGAGAGTGATTTTGGAAATTTTTTGAGAAAAACTCAAACCAAACAATTTTTTAGAAATTTTTTTCTAAAACTCATCTCCCAAATGCAAACCAAACATACCCTTAGTATTTGGTTCCTTCAATCTACACTTGTACCTCAAGCATCCTTGCACAAATTGCATCAGCAATGGCATCACCATGAGATTGATGAGTCTCGCTAGTAAAGACAAGTATAGGGGTATCTTCATCAGCTCCTTTCTATCCCTATGTTGGTTCTCCAATGGCTATGATTGAGGGTAAAACTATTGTAGAGATAGAAAGGAAAGTAAAGAGAGAAGGATAGGGAGATCAGGAGAGAAGAGAAACAAGGAAGGGAGAATGATTAGTCAAGTGGCTATGGAAACTATTGATGGGTGGTGGTGGCAATTGGTGGGGCGTGATGGTGGCTTGAGGCGTGATTGGGTAGCTGGGGCAGTGGTAATGTGGGGATTGGGGGTCAAAGGAGGGAGAGAGGGGAGATGTAATTTGGTTTCTCTAATGTTAGGCTTTTTTTTTTATAACTGTTTTCAAATAATGTACAACTGCTTGATGCTTTTAAGGCTTGTACATACTTGGAGAAAGTTTAATTGCATAGTAATAATTATATTATTCTCATGCCAACTGATAAATCAAATTTTCTCAAGTAGATTATAATGTAAATTAATTATAAATTCATTAGATTATTAATGGGGGTAAAATGAGTATTTGGATAAATGAATGAATTTGCTGACAATATCATATTTAGTTAGTTGACCCAACAACTGACTAATAGAAGGATATCTGTTGTGCGATTTGAAATCTTTGGCAGTGGGATTATTTTCCCGAATCTGAGGGTGTCAGATGTATTTATCAAAAACCTCAATGGGATAACTGTAATTTATCCTCATTAAATTATAAATCAAATTTCATTTTTCTTCTTGTATCGACAATTTATTTTTATTTATTAATATAGTTACACATGCCGCACACATAACCCATCTAGGATGTCATGTCAAACATGGCTACTAGTTTGATCATTCTGATTTTTTATCCACTTGTTATAATTGATTTTTCAATAATAAAACTTTAGTCACATTAGCAGATGTGTGTAAACTACTTCAAATTGTATCTAATTCTAAGTTCCCCGTAGTACATTGTGTATAATTTAAATACGTATATTCATTTAATTTTTCCTTTTGTAACAGTTATTAACTCATTTGCTGTACTTGTGCTTCAGTGCAGAGCTGTTGCATCTCACAGAGTGGAAGAGGTCAGACAAATACTTTTTAGGCTGTATTTGGATTTTGGAAATAATGCATTTTTGCCCTCCTAGTGAGCATTCACTATTTTGTCTAAATGTTGGTTCAATTTATGTAGTATTTGATGTGTTGCAACTGGTAATTGTGATGTAGTAGTATTAATTTGACAAGTCTGTATAGTTTTGTAGTTGACACTAGAATTTTGGAGTATTTGATTGAGAGGTTCATGATTTGATGAATACTGTAACGCTCTCTAGTAGTATTCATTTGACAAGTCTGTATAGTTTTGTAGTTGACACTAGAATTTTGGAGTATTTGATTGATAGGTTCATGATTTGATAATTACACTGGTATGTTTACTAGAAGGGTTAATTACACTTTTTATGGCCTATAGTTTGTTTGAAATTTCACTTTAGCTCTTATTGTTTCAATTTGAACAATTTGAAACTGTAAGGACTAAAGTGTTCAATTTGAAATTATGAGGACTAAAATGAAATTTGAATCAAATTATAGGAGTGAAAAGTGTAATTGGCAACTTTCAATTTTAGTTAAAAAATCAAAAGGTTATCATATCACTATCTCTATTTTTTTGTACATCTTTTCATAAAAAATTAAAAAGTTATTAAGGCCTATTTTGGAAAATGGGTAAAAAGCCACTTTCTAGTTTTTAACCTACTTTTCTTTCTCACAAAAAAGTCAAAAAATAATTTTTAATCATCTTCTCAAAATACTCTTGAAGTAGCCTGTTTCTAAACGAGATGTAAAACTATGAAAGACTTGTTCAAGGTCAGATGGACCTGATTTCTTGTTTGCTTTTGAACATTGTAATTGTTCTTATCACTCTCAATTTGCACGGCTTCTTTTGCCTAATCTAAAACCAAATCAAAGGTCTCTCTACGCATAGCAAATCTAAAGGCTTCTAGCTCGGCATTTTGTCACCACTGATATATGAGAGGTTGGGAGTTTGACTCTTGCTAGAGACGAGACAGGGTAATACTGCTCCTTCACTTAAAGCTGCAAAATTGATCACTCATTGCTGGTTTACCTGTTGTTGCTGATGTCTAAAATATTATTTGTAACAATTTAGATTTTTTTATGTACATATTTATTTGACACAAAATATTATCTTTTTAAAATATATATATTTGTTAAATATTAGTTAAATAAAAATATTTTTGAAAATTTTACTATTCACTTTTTAAAAATTTAGGTTGATCATTTACTTTTTGACCAAATTAAAAATTAATTTAAAATGATTGATTGGTTGTATTATCTTGACAAATATGATATTAATGAGTTGTCTCCTTTTGACAAAATTAATATAGAGTGGTAGAATATATTTAGTTTAAAATCTCTACAACATATACAATATTTTAAAGAGGGCATATATTTTCAGATCCATCATAAATATTAATTAAAGAGATTTTTCTGTGTATGCAAATATTTGATCAGAACATAGCAAATATTTGATTAGAACATTATATATATAACTTTATATATATAATGCATATAATACAAATAGTATACATCACGGTGCAATTATATTTTTTTACACAACATTGATTGTATCATATATATTAGTGTGTAGAAACATTGAATATTAGCATATGAAAACATTAATTATTAGCATATGGAAAGTCATACAAGATATAATTCAAATTAATTTTTCTTTTTCTTTTTTGTATACTTTTGACTAAAACCTAAAGATGTTCAAATTTGCAAGAGTGCAAATTTTCTTACACGTGATTCTCTTCCAAACTAATGTCATCCACGATGTCAGCAAGAAGCGTGCTTAGGTAAGCCATGACGTCAGCAAGGAGCGTCTAACGGGTATATTTTTGTGTATAAATAGAAGTGTTGTGTGTGGAGAAAAATTAAGAACTTGAAGAGAAAATTTTCTGTGAGCTCCAAAATTCTGAGTATATTGTATTATGCTCTTTTACTTTCAAATCTACGTCTAGCATTTATTCTTACACTTTCATATCTACTCTTTGTGAGAGAATTATTGAAAAAGAGGGTTTAAGTACCACTTATTCTTATTCCTTATTTTTGTGAGAGATTTTGTAAGGGTAGGCATTTATTGTTGAGTGAGGCTCAATAGATAAGAGTAAGTCCTGTGCCAAATCCACAAGCTTAGTGATGTATTTATTCAATTAATAGTAAAGAAATTCTCAAGGAGGTTCCTTGGAGAGTGGACGTAGGCCTGGCGTGCCGAACCACTATAAATCGCAGTATTTGATTTTCTCTCCCTATCTCTCTTACTTTCATATTGATAATTATTATTTTATTTTTTTTATTTATTAGAATTCTGAATATTGTGTTAATTTTAATATTGTAGATTTTTAATAATCCAATTCACCCCCTCTTGGGTTGCCTATCTAGGATAACAATTGGTATCAGAGCCTAAACTCTAGTTTGTGTGACCTAACCGTCTTAGAGTAGATCATGGCAACCCCTAGTTATTCTTTACCTGAGGGATAAGCATCCAATAGGCCACCACTATTTAGCGGTACAAATTTTAGTTATTGAAAAACTAGGATGACCATACATGTTCAATCTAATGATTATGAATGCTGAAAAATTATTTGCAATGGTCCAAAAATTCCTATCAAAACCGTAGATGGACTTAGGGTACCAAAACTTGAAGATGAGTGGGATAAATCAGATACTAGAATGGCCCAAATTAATGTCAAAGCCACAAACATGTTGTACTGCGCCTTAGATGCCAATGAGTTCAACAAAATTTTCACATGTAAAACCGCAAAAGAAATTTGGGACAAGCTTATAGTGACTTATGAGGGAACCGAACAAGTCAAAGAATATAGAGTTAGTTTGCTAGTCCATAATTATGAACTCTTTAAAATGAAGCCTGTTGAGAATATTCCTCAAATGTTTACTCGCTTTACTGATATTATTAATGGTTTAACTTCTCTTGGAAAAATATATACTAATGCTGAAATTGTAAGAAAAGTGGTCATTGCCAAAAAGTTGGGAGGCAAAAGTCATTGCCATTACCGAGGCCAAGGATTTATCAAAGCTAAGTCTAGATGAGTTAATGGGATCTTTCTTAACTCATGAGCTCATAATGCAAGAAGGAAAGGAAGAGGAGGACAACAACAAGAAGAAAGGAATAGCCTTCAAATCCACGTTGAAATATCAAGAGAATAAGGAAGATGATTCAGATGAGGATGAGGAAATAACATTCATCACTAGAAAGTTCCAAAGGTTTGTGAGAAAGAAACAAAGCGTACGAAATTTTTTCAAAAAAGACTTCAACAACAGGGATTTTCAAAGATGAGAAAATCACAAAAAATCTGAAGTAACCTGCTACGAATGCAACAAACCTGGACATTACAAATCAGAATGTCCAGAACTTAAGAAAAAATTCAAGAAGGATAAGAAGAAAGCTATGATTGTAGCATGGGGAGAAGATGGTGATGAAAGCGACACAGAAACCGAAGTTTGCAAAAATAAGGTTGCTAACCTATGCTTAATGGCACTTGGAAATGAAAATGAGGTAAATGACGAATCCTTTATGTTAGGTCCCTATGTTGTCAAATCCGGAGACAAAACATTGTGTAGATTCAAATGTAATTTTGTGTGTTTTTGTTCTGTCCGCTCGAGCGGAGACTTATGAGCTCGAGCGTAGATTAGCAGGTCTCAGTATTTTGTCAGGGCAAGCAAAAAATACTGGTGGGTGTGATTTTACGCTCGAGCGGATTCTCCTACGCTCGAGCGCATCTCAGTTTGTTCGCACGCAGTTTTTGGTCAGTCCGCTCGAGCGGGCTGTGTTGAGCTCAAGTGGAGATCGCGGATCCAGATTCCTATTTAAAGCTGTTAAGGTTGTTTTTTTGAAGGTGGTTTTCCTAGATCTGATCTACAAGCACTAGGGTTTTGTTTAAAGTTTTCTTAGGAGATTTTTCATAGTTTTCCTTGATATTCTTGAGAGAGTTCTGAACTTATGCATTGAGATTCATACATCAAGGAGGTTGCTTCTTAAGTTTCAAGTAAGTTCTCTTCGGTGGATTCCGAAGATTAAAGCGTAGATTCCAAAAGGCGTTTGATTCTACGCAGTCGTTAATTCGACGAGTGAAGTTGTGGTGTGGAATCAACTTCAGGATCAATTCCGTGACGAAGGAGTGGTGAAAGAGTTATAGAAGATTCAGAGACAAATTGACTGGGTTGGGTAATTTGTATTGTATCTTTGTAATCTTTTTGTTCTTCAGTAGTGGATTGATAGTGGCGTTTCGCCCGTGGTTTTTGATTACAATTGAAGGTTCTTCAATTGTGGTTTTTTCCACGTAAAAAATCGTTTGTGTCGATTTATTGTTTATTCTCAAAAACAAACAAACTAAAATCACTCTCGTAAGTGTTTGATGATTTTAGGTTGAGAGTTTTGAATTAATTGGGTTTTGGAATAAGTTAATCTTGATCTAATCACAAATCACGTAGGATTTTCACTTTACATTTGATAAATTACAATTAGCTTTTGATGAATTACATGCTGAATTTAAGAAACTTAGTTTGAAAAGTAATTGTCAAAAGAAAGTAATTTCAAGTTTATCAAAAGAAAATGAATCATTGACTTCCAAGATAAATGCTCTAGAAAATGAAGTCATGAAAATGAAAAAGGAAAATGAGATTTTAACTCGAAAAGTGTCTTCAATTTCTGAAAAATATTTAGTTGTATTGCAAATAGAAAATGAGTCTTTAAAAGAGGAGCAAATTATTTTGAAAGAAAATATTTAAGACTTGAAAAATACTCTTTCAAAATTCACTCAAGGCAGAGAAACTTTAGATAAAATTCTTAAAAATCAAAATCGCACTTTTGGTAAGGCTGGAATTGGATATAAATCTTTTTCAAAAGTGAAAACTGTCAAAAATGACTTTGTGTATGCATTTTCTAATCACTCTCATCTCACATGTCATTTTTGTGGTACAAAAGGTCATATTTCACCTTCATGTCCTGTTAAAAGAAATCCTTTTACTAAAATAAAAAAGATGTGGGTCCCTAAGGACAATTTAAGAGTATCAAATTCTAACTTTTATGGACCTAAGAAAAAATGGGTACCAATAGAAAAATCAAATTTTTGTAGGTATGTTTTAAGACAAAATCCAGTAACGATAGATGGTATCTCAATAGTGCATGTTTGAGGCACATGACTGGAAATAAAGCTACGTTCGCCACACTTCAACCAAAGGATGGTGGATATGTGACTTTTGACGACAATAGCAAGAGTA